TGATACAGTTGGGAATGGTGGGGCCTTTGGCAAACTGCATATGTTACACGTTATAAACAGTGTTCAACTGAATGAGACATGTCCGGCCGAGTCTGCTCTGAAGGCCACCCACTCGCTCTCGGTGAGAGAGAGTAAAACACACCTTGCCAAAATGAACTAATAACTACTGAGTACTGAATGTGTCCAGTGTTCCGCGTGCCATCCTGGGGCATATCCAGATGGGAGCTCATTAAACCTCACAACAATGCGGAGAGATTGGTATTGTTGACCCTGTTGTGACAGATAAGGATCCTGAGATTGCGGAAATCAACTTAAAAAGGCCAACGTTTACATGGGTAAGTATACAGCAGAGCTGGAATGTCAGTTCAGGCCTGCCTGAGGACAAAGCCCCTGGTGTCTTCCCATGAGGGATCTCAGTGGGATGTTGGTGATGACACGTGTCTCACACTTGACTACAGTGTCCGGACACTGGAGCAACTTTTCGGTTCTAGTGTCCTCGGCACTGCTTCAGGACAAATTCACAGGAGGGAGGCAGCCTCACGCCAGCTTTTTTCAAGGTAGGCTCTTTTCAAGCCTACCCTGGGAAAATAAAGGTTTTAAGTGGTAAATCACGGCAGGCCTAAAGATGGCTCCTGTACACGGGAGCCAGGAGACGGCTTCTTCTGTTATAATGAGACCCTCTAGGATTCTGTCCTAGGTTATCCTGTTGGTCGGGTTTTCAGAGCACACTGGTAGCTAATCAATCATGTTCACTGTGTAGCCAACATCTGACTTGGAAGGAATAGCTGCTGACCCAGAAGCCACAGCCTTTGATGAATGGGGCTTCATGTAAGAGGTGGTTGGAACATGTAAGTAAAACACAGCCACATGGTAACAATCCACCTCTCCATACACTGTAATGTTTTCTGGTGAAACTATGCCACTTGAGATTTTATATACATATATATACACACATATATATGTATATATATAATCTATTGTTTTTGCAAAGTTCAATGTGTAAAAAGAACCATTTTAAAAATTTATTTTTTGAGGTGCAAGCATTCGTTTACTATATATATTTTTGTATACTTCTCACATGCCTTGAGCCCTAGGGTTCTCCAAGCATAATGGCTAGGATGCCTGTGTGGGAGAGGGTTTTACAAACGTGGAATCCCTTGCCCTTAGTGTGAATGGCGTTCTCAGTAAGCTACCATGGTACCTCCTAAAATGGATTCTAGAATACCCTATTATCATTTGCCCTGCTATTTTTTAGCTGATATTTGTACTAATGAACTGCTTAGGGAGTGCCATGCAAATATGATGATGCCTGAGCATTTCTTGTGAGAGTTTAAAGGTGGTCCTCATGCCAGCACCAAACAGGGCTCAGATTTGAGACAGAGAGGGAACCATCAAAGTCTGTGCATCCCAGTGCCCCAGATCGACAGCGAACCAGACCCAAAGAATCCATGAGAGATGTTTTGTCTTTAGGTGAACATCCTTGGGGAAAAAAATCCTCTATTATTTTACTGGTCTCTCTCCATATGGTAAGATAACCTACTTTTTCTTAATTTTACAACATAATAAAGATTTGGGGGAGAAAGAATAGGAAGACAAAGAAAGGGGTATTTTACACATACCACTGGGTGTATCATTCGCTGGCCTTTTGTCCAAAGAAAGGGTCACCTTTAAGAGCTGATGGAAGGTATGTTATTGTGGCTTTATTGCATTGCTAACTCTCCCACAGACTAAGATATGGGAAAAGTTTGTATGTGTGGGGACAACAGGACCAATACTCTGAATGTTTTTTTAAATTAAATTTTTGAAGTATCGTTTAAGGAAGGGAACATTAGAATTTTATGAACAAAAACTTCCTAATAGGCGACGTTTTTCTTCTTTTCAATGTTGGGAAGTTTTACGTTAATTTAACTTTCAGATATTGATCATTTAAGATTAAATAAGCATCCCAATAAGAAGACAAACTAGATTTGTGTTTGAACTAAATTCTAAAGCTTATATGGAAAAATAAACAAGAATACCTAGAAAATACTGAAAGAGTAATGGGGAAGGTGAAACTAGGCTTATCATTAAAATATAAAGCAATATTAATTAAAAGAGTGTGATTAGGCAGACAGAGTAATATAACAGAATAGAAAGAGTAAAAATAGAATTAAATTTAAGGGAATTTGGTATATGATGAAGGTGACCTTTTAAATCATAGGGAAAATGATTAGTCAAAAACATATGGGACAACTGGGTAGCTAACAAAAAACTAAAGTTGGAATCTGACCTCACACTTCACAATCAAATAAAGCAAAACCAGATGAGTCATAGATATAAATATAAAAAAATGAAGCCATAAAATACTAAAAGAAGTTCTGAGAATTTAAAATTTTTTATAATTTTGTAATGGGAAAGTCATGATCTGTATGACATAAAATCCAGAAGCCATAAAAAAAAGATGAATTTGACTACATAAAATCAATGTATTTCTGTATAGCATAAACAAAGTGAAAAGATATATGACAATCTGGGAAAAATATTTGCCACTTTTGCTACAGATAGAGGTCTATTTCTTTAATATATAGTGAGCTCCTACAAATCAATAAGAAAGAAAAGACCACCAGCCCAATAGAAAAATGGGCAAAAATATGGAGAGTTTACAGAAAAAAATACAAATGGCTCCTAAGTAAATAAATCTGTACTAAAAACATGATCAGACTCATTTATTATATGGAAAATACAAACTAAAACTACCATGAGATAGATTTTGCACCATCATATTGGCAAAATTCAAGAAGTCTGATAACACATTGTCTTGGTAAGAGTGTAGAAGGAGAGGCACCTCAGCCATTGCTGGCAGAAATATAAATTGGTTCAGACTCCACAGAGAGAAAGTTGGCAATACCCATCAAAATTTCAAATGCCCATATGCCAAATGCCCACTAATTCCACTTCCAGGTGTTTGTCCTACAAATAAAGTATGAGGATGATGCATTTACAAATATATTTATTGCACTTTGTTTATAATAGCAAATTATTAGAAACAACATCAGTGTTCATAACTAATTAATTATTGATTAAATAATTTATTCTACATCTTTAAGATCTAATACTCTGCAGCCATCAAAACGAATGTGATAGCTGCTATATGGACACTGAAAAGGAGTGACCTCAAAAATATATTAAGTGTAAGAAAACAAGGTATGGAGCAGGATAGACACTGTTCATATATGTGTATATGTGCATATATACACACACATACATGTATATGTATACATCCATATATGTATTACACACCAACTATATCTCAATAAAAGAAAAAGCCAAAAACACTATTTCTGCTTTTGTATAGACTGTTTCTGGATGAAATTGCTTAATAGTGGTTGCCCTGAGGGAGAGGACCTGGGTGACCTGGGGACAGGAGTGTGAGGGAGGACCACTTTTCTCTAATACTTTTGTGCCTTTTGGACCTTTTGAATTCTGTTCACTGGGCATGTATAAACTATTTAATAATAAAATATTCTACTTAAAAGTGTAACATGAACTGATAAAGGAACTAGCAACTTTTGATCATGTGTTAGAATTACTCAATAGCAAATCATTTCATTGTTAATAAAGAAAGCTTACAAATACGAGGATAAAAAAGATAAATAATTATTTCATAAAGATCAAAATAATATAGTGCTTTGCCACCATGATTCAAAAATTATCTCAGTACCTTAATGCACGCTGTGCTAATATTGTGTGTAAATCCTCTCCCTACATCCACGTTCCAATAAGGGCCGACTACCTCACTGATCCTAAACATTTCCTCTGAAAAGCGATCAATGTCCCCTCCCTGGACATTAAACAGATTTTGAAAAACTCTTCAATCCGTATCAGTCTCATATCCTTATTTAGTTCCTCAAATTTGCCCTCAGCTGGGAATCGTGCAGGCGACTGTGATTCTGTTGCGTTCACCACTCATTTGAAGGGCCCCATTCATCATCATTTCTAGGCCTTTTCTGATGCAATGTAGCTTGTCCTTTGTCTTTCTTAAAAACTGAATGGCTGTTAAATTATCCATTTATCTTCCTTCAGATTTTCTGTTCAGTTTCTCAGGCCCTCTCAGGGCTGTCTTTTCTACCTTGTTTGCTGACTTTTCATTCCATTTCCCCTGTTCTTAGAGGCATCTTGGTTCACCATGCTGTCCTTCAAAGCAAACTCCCTGCTTCCATCTGCTTTCTGTGTGTTTGAAATCTGCATCACTACTCAGATAGATTTCCTTTTTAAACTCTGTCCCCTCGGATAGCTTTGAACACTTGGAGACAATATGCTTCAATATGTTCGTGGCAGAGTATCTTGGGACAGACCCTACACTGGAGGTCAAAAGTCTTGGTTTCTAAACCTCGCTTTGCCACCGTCAAGCCGGGTCACGGGTGACCTTTCAAGGTTTCACTTCCCTCATCTACAGATGATCTGCAAGCTCACTGTTAGATGAACATTCTAGTATTACAACAGCGTGTTGCTTCTGTTTCAGGGGACCTGATAAGGACCTGAGGTTTGTATAACATTAATGCCTGCTCACACATCATCTCAGGTGGCAGTAAGGTCCTATCGGTTAGAAGCCCAGATTTGAAGGCAGAAAAAAAAAAAATCAAAGCTCTGTCACTTAATATCTGTGTATTTTTGGGCAAATTACAGAAACTCTGTAGCTTCAGTTTTCACATCTGAAAAGGGGGATGATAGTAGTATCTAACTTGATATTGCTAAGAGAATTAAATCAGATAATGCTTGGAAAGTCAGTCTGGTGCCTGGCACATAAGAAGTGCTCAGGAAATGTTGTTATAGACGCACTACACCTTAGTGAGACCAGCGGTTTGGCTATTTACTATCCAAACTTCCAACAGAGGCTATTGAAGCTTAGAGATGATATTAATGGTGATAAAAGAATAATGGCTCACATGTATGGAGGGCTTTAGCATGTAATGTTTACTTTTCCCGAAGCATTTCCACATACTCTATCTCCCTTGTTTCAGACTCTTGGAAAGGCTGATATTAACTATCATCAATTCTACTTGCTCCAAGAAGAAAGTCACTTTGTAAGGCCAAAGGTGTTAAAAAAGCAGCAGAGTGGAGTTATTTTCATTCAAGCCTTCAAGCCAGGGGTGATCACCGTGAAAAGAAAGCTGAGCATATGGAGCTAAATCCAAAGGCTGGTCTCCTTATAAAAGAAGGCCATGTGAAGACACAGGAACACAGAGACACAGGGCAGAATGTCATGTGAAGACAGAGTTGGAGATTGGAGGGATTCAGCTACATGCCAAGGAACGCCAAGGGCTCCTGGCAACCACCAGAAACCAGGAGAGAGGCGTGGAATGGATTCTCTCGCAGAACCTCCAGAAAGAACCAGCTCTTCTGACACCCTGATTTCTGACTTCTGGTCTCCAGAACTGTGAGAGAATAGATTTCTGTTGTTTTAAGCCACCCAGTTTCTTGTATTTTGCTAGGCAGCTGTAGGAAATTAATAGACCCCCTCTTGGCTGAACTTGGACCCTTAAAGTCCTGAACCTGTTCCTTCTGAAAGACAGATAAGCTCTCTTCCTGTTGATATCCCCTTCTGCAGACATCCTGGGACATAACTTCCTTTCCAGCCTCCAATATTTGAGGATATCTTATGCCCTCTCACATTCTGTTGTCCTTGAGAGTTTATATCTTTTTTTAAAGAAATGCAACGTTATTATTTCTAATCACACTTAACAGCATTAAATAATCAATAAAATATTGAACAAAGGTACTCATTTTAGAATTATGTCACTTAGCAAAAACAACAACAAAACAACCAAAAAAAGTAGGCAATGACTGAATAAATTATGACAAGTCACTGTTTGGAATACTAGGCTGCTGTTTCAAAGGACAATATGAAAACTATGTTAAGGATGTGGAAGCATGTTTTGAACTTTATCTTAAGTGGCCAAAGCAGAATACACTGGTGTACCTGGATGAAAATGTGTTTGCATGTAGACAACAGTATGAAGGGGCATCACAGGAAAAAGAGAATGTGAGTCCTTCCTTCTGCCGACAGTCTGCTCTTGACGATTTAGGTGTGCTCTGAGGCCATGTATGTTTTCTCTCCTGTACTCCTCATTTCCTTCCTGGTCCTCAATCGCACGTTGTTAATACCCTTACTTACAAACTGTTCAAGGCATTGTAGGCTTTTTCTATCATGCTCCTTAAAATTCTTCCAGCCTCTTCCCATTTTGTAAGAAAGTTTATATCTTTAAAAAATTCCTATATTATTTTATGAATGGAATTCTCAGAAGGATGTGGAATAAATTATGGAGGTCAACCCACCATCTTTTATTGGCAACATCAACTCAGTTACAGGTGAAAGTGTTTGGTCAAGGACAATTTGACATAAGGTCTTTCTGAGAAAGTATTTCTCTGGTAACCAGTTGAACAGAACCTACAGTAGCCCATTCGGTGCTCTAGCAATTACTCTCCCTGGAATCTCTACTCAGATCCCTGTATCCTCCCCTCTGAAGAATTCATAGTTTTACTTTGTAAATGGGAGGTTTAAAGAGGTAGAGCACTGCCGGACTAATGGAATGGCCTTTCACTTCCTCAGGGCAGTGCAGTGGGGAAAAGCAGCAAAGTAAGGCTGAGAAGACTTGGCTTCGAAATTCTGGCTCTGCTGTGTATTAACTGCTTCACTCTGGTTAAGTCCATTAGCTTCTGTAGGTTTCAGTTTCCTCATTTATAAAACTTAGACTATTAGACATTATAGGATTCAGAATGAAGTATTTTCTTCCTTCACAGAGTTAGGGTAAAATTACATTGTGTATGTAAAAGCACTTTGTAAACTTTAAAATTTAAGCCCTATCCAGTGGCCACTATAGTCAGTATTCAATAAATGTCTGCTTATTGAAAAAGTATACATAAGGATACCTTTGTATTCTTATGGGCTTTAATACTGAACTTCTTTTCCAAAAACTCAGTCAGATAGAAGTCTTTAACTTCGTTTTAGACTCTGGCTACCAGACTCAACAGCTGGGCTGCCATGTTCATTGTACATGAGGTTGAGAGCCTGGCTCCCTCTGAGCACATCTGCTCGCTAAGATGGGGCAATGTGCCTTGAGTGATTTATTTAATATTTTTACGGCTGCGGCTCTGATAACGAAATATAAGAATAGTGAGAGCTGAGGATCCAGATATTGCCTCCTTGAATTCTCTTAGGAGACATTTTGAATAATACAGAGGATTCTGTTGGCAATAGCGTAATAAGAATGCTTTACGTCTATCTCATGCCTCACTTCCCAGCAGCAAAAACAATGCTGACCCTTCAAATGAACTTTAAATTTCAGAGATTTTGGAGAGGCACTTAGAATGCAAAACACAGTCTTTAAAAGAGGACTTGATTCATTTCCTAGTGAAAAATGCAAGTTTTCTTCTCTTTCTCCCTCTTTCGCTCCCTCCTTCCCTCCCTTCCTCCCTTTCTCCCTCCCTTCTTCCCTCCCTCCTTCTCTCCCTCCTTCCCTCCCTTCCTTTCTTCCTTCTTTCCTTTTTCTTCTTTAGAGAGTCACAGAAGAGAGGGCCATGAAGAAGACGTAAATCCACATTTAAAATACGCTTTCTTGAGGAACTGGAAAGTAACTTAAGTAAAGACGACATTCCAAGCCTTGTATGGACTTGCAGTTAAGTGATTTTTAGCTTCGTGATTTCAAAGCATAAACACTTTTAAAAAGAGTTATTTATGTTGGTCAGCTGGATAGGGAGAAGTAGATCTTATCTTAAATTCTACCCTCAAAAGCCTTATTAGGGGACTTCCCTGGTGGCGCAGTGGTTAAGAATCTGCCTGCCAATGCAGGGGACACAGGTTCGAGCCCTGGTCCGGGAAGATCCCACATGCCGCAGAGCAACTAAGCCCATGCGCCACAACTACTGAGCCTGTGCACTAGAGCCCGTGAGCCACAACTACTGAAGCCCATGTGCTACAACTACTGAGCCTGCGTGATGCATCTACTGAAGCCTGCGTGCCTAGAGCCTGTGCTCCACAACAAGAGAAGCCACCGCAAAGAGAAGCCAGCACAGCACAACGAAAGAGTAGACCCGGCTCGCCACAACTAGAGAAAGCCCGCGTGCAGCAACGAAGAACCAACGCGCCCCCCACCCCCCAAAAAAAGCCTTATTAGGGAGTATATTGTAACTTTTTTTTTACCTGATTCCAGCGTTTTAATATAGATTCATGATGGCAGTTTTGAGCTCATAAAATGCATATGAATAGAAATTAAGTCCTACTGTATAAAGAACAGGTTTTTAATAGCTGCGTGAAATAAACCAAAGTCCATTTTATTTACAAGATAATGTATACAGAGCTGGTTGCTTTATCAAGTCAAAGTCATTTTTTGGAGGTGGAAAACTTTCTCCAAATCAAACAGCCTGGCATGTCAGGTATTCAGGAAGAACTCTGAGATGTAGCCAAGGGTGTGAAATGCCTTCACCAGCCACATACCATGCTTGATGCAGAAAGCGACATGAACTTTAATGTTCTTCTCTTAATGAGCCCTCTGGGCTATTCAGCACTTCACCCTACAGAGCACATTGTTATTTCGTGTTTGTATTGATAACTGTTAGGCACTAAAGGATCTGAAAAGTCTTCTAAGTCAAACAATTATATTTTAATCATGATAATTTACTGTTTTAGATAATATATAATATTTCTTGAAATCTGTGTATATGTGCTAGCTCTCCCTATCAACTTGAATACTAAAATAATGAGAAGACTGTATTTTCTGCCAATGCTGGAAAAAAGAAAATTTCATGTATTTCCTAGCTGAAAAAGTCAAAGCCCTGAAAAATTCATGGCTACAAACTGGTCTTTTTATGCTAGAATTAAGGACCAATTCAACCATGATGAGAACTAAACCACTTTCTAAGAAGACATCATAGGCCATATACTTCAGATTATGGGCAGTAATATAACAGTGCACACTCTGATGAAAGGTTTTATATATTTGCAGATGATAATTTAAAATGACATTATAACCCTACTTCGTACATTCCACTGCTTATTAATTCTGCGTCCTGCGTCTCATCGTTCACTCTTCTGTTTCTTCACTCATTTATTCAACAAACAGCAGTTTGAATATACTTAGGCACCATTCTGGGTACCAAGAATATGATGGTCCCAAGAAACTAGTCTAACAGGGAAGAAAGACAGAAAAGACAGACAGAAAGATGACCACAACACAGAGTGTTGCGTGTGGTTATGAAGAGACAGGTAGAGTGGAAATGCTGAGGAGGAGTAAAGGTTTTACAGAGGAGGTGACAGTTTGAGCTGTCCTCTTCCAGGCAGAAAGAAGAGGGAGGGAGGTATAAGCAAAGGCAAAATGGACAAAAGCGTTCGTGAGTCCTGTGCTTTGGGGCAAATGGTGCGTGGGTAACAGGAGATGAGGCCAAGAGGCAGGGAGCCTCAGAATGAGAGGGCTAACCCCAGGAATCTGGAAGGTATCTTATAGATTGTGGTAGTAACCTGAGGTTTTTAAGCAGGAGGATACCATGATCTGATATTTTTTTAAAAAGGAAGATCATTTTGGCAAAAGTTTGGAAGACAGGGTATAAACTACATAAAACTGATACTTTTGAATGTTTATATTTCTCTTCCATTTGTACTTGACTAATAGTACATAGAAAATTTTGAACAGGTTTTCCTATCAGCACTCAGATTTGGATATAGCATATGTAACAAGGACAATAATTTGAAAATATTAAACCAATGTATTTTCGTTCTGCTTGAATCGTGATGCCAGTGGCTTCCCACCCATTAGCTCAGTAGGCTTTCCTCCCCCAGGCAAGCGGTGGTTCCCAGCTAGAAACAGCGAACTATCATCAACTAGCTTTCAGAGAGAATAACTCTCAATGCCAGCTTTGCGTGGTGAGAAAAGGGATTTCTAAATTCCAGAACTCTATCTCTTAGGAACCGAGCCTGGCTAGGTCAAATCATCAAGTCTGAGTACAAAGTTCTGGAGTGGGGAGCACAGAGGAGACCATATAAGGAGAGTTCCCATTAAACTAGGAAAAGGAAATTCAAAAACTTTCCACTCTGGGTGTTAGAGAAAGGGGAGGAGGAGGGAGAGAGACAGAAAGGGAGTGAGGGGGGGAGAATGGGATCAGAAGTGAGTGTCCTGGCTCTGTGTTCCCTGGGGGTCGAACCCTGGGGGTGAGGGGAAGGCTTGTCTCTTGAATCTCAGAGCCTAATTCAGGAAAATGACAGAACTTTCCTAGAAGGAGTTGGCACTACCCAGGTGGCATATTAGAAAGAACCGAGGAAGCTCTTGTGTGGATGGCAGGGTGAAGAGAAAGTAGCTGGGGGTTCATGCGTGCCACAGGCTGAGCAATGGCAGAGAACCAGCTGAGCAGGAAGCTGGTGGCGGCTTGCCATGGTCTGCATGGACCGGGGTCTGCAGCAGCCAGAGCCAGTGGTCAGGCCCTCCACGAAGTGCTCACTGCACCCACCCCACAGTCCCAGAGGCCAGCTGGGCATCACACCCAGAGCCTTGACCCCAGAGGCTGCACGTGCACTCGGTCCCTCTCCCCCCAGTCACAGAACCCTTACAAAGACAGGTGAGCTCTCCTGGCACCTGGATGTCAGCTGGGGAGAAGAAACGGTTCTGACTGGGAACAATTCACATTTTAGTCTTCCCAAGGACTTGTTTTAACCGGAAGGAACTGAGATACTTTAATTGTCAAGTTTAAGTACCAGTCCCTGAACACCGCCCGCCGCCGCCGCCCCCCCGC